GGTGATTTTAAATGTCAAAGTGATTATGTTACAAGTCAATATGAAATCGTCCAAGAATTATTAGAAGAGTTCGTCCAAGTGGAACTTCAATACGATAATAGGATGTATAACGACCTAGCAAACGAATTAGCCCAAATGGCTTCGGGATATTTAAAGGTGCTAAATTTAGAATCCACTTGTGAGTATGGAGTGATATTGTCCGTAATTCAAAAGAAGGGGAGAATGATTGAGGTTTATTGCATACAAAATGTAGATGCAATAGATTGGATGGCGAAAATAAAAAGATTCTTGAAAGAACCCGACAAAAAGAAAAATAGGAAGGTGAAGTTATCTCATTGAATTACATTTTGATAGATGATGAGCTATTTAAGAAACGCTCAAATGGTATGTTATTAAAATGTGTGAGTTTGCAAGAGGCCAAAACAATCATGCCTGAAGTGTATGAAGGAATATGTGGAGTCCATCAAGATAGCCAAAGGATGAGATGGTTGATTGTTAGGAGTGGATACTTTTGGCTCAAGATGGGAGAATTGTGTGTTCAGTACGCAAAGAGTTGCTTAGCATGTCAAAAGCATGGTCCGATACAAAGAGCGCCAGGCGCCCATTATTAAGCCTTGGCCGTTTAAAGGTTGGGCTATAGATTGATAAGGAAGATTTATCCCTCGTCATCCAAGCAACTAACGTTTATAATAGTTGCGACAAATTTCTTCACTAAATGGGTAGAAGCAATACCTTTAAAAAAGATATCTCAAAAAAATGTTATAAATTTTAGTCGTAACCATATTATTTATAGATTTGGGATNCACAAACTTTAATGGTGGATCACGGAACTTCTTTAAATGGAGATCAAGTGAAGGAAATCTTGAGCGAGTTTGGAGTTAAGTTAGTAAATTTCACACCTTACTACGCTCATTCCAATGGACAAGCAGAATCTTCGAATAAGATTCTAAAAAATATCATAAGGAAAATGATAAATGAAAATACCAAAAATTGGCATGAATGTTTTAAGTACAGCCTTATGGGCCTACAAGACGTCGCCATGCTCAAGTATCAAAGTGATTCATTTTCAACTTACTTATGGACAAGAGGCTGTGTTGCCTATGGAAATCAATGTACAGTCGATTAGAGTAGGCTTACAAAATTACTTAAGTGATGGCGAATTTGTCGAATCATTAGCCCAAAATTTATTGGAGTTGGACGAGTAAAAATTGGACGTCCTAGACAGATTACAAATTCAAAAACGAAAAATGGCTAAATTCTATAACAAAAAAGTTATAGCCAAATTTTTTAGTTTGGGCAATTTGGTTTGGAAGACAATACTCCCTTTGGATAGCAAAGATCCAAAGTATGGTAAATGGTCACCCAATTGGGAAGGATCATATAAAGTGAACGTATTGCCTAATGGAGCCTACCATTTGAAAGATCTAGATGGTACGTAGTATATGATGTTTATTAATTGTAAATATTTGAAAAAATATGTTCCTTTCATATGGGAAAGTGAACAAATAGATGCATAAATAAACAGTTTCGTTGGACGATTATAAGAGCAAAATACGTTCAAATACAATCTTTCATTATCAAGTAGCTTTTACAAACCAAGAGGTACAAAATACAAATGAGCCGCAGTTAGAAGCGGGCTATTATGGTTCTTCTATCAACTACAAGGAAAAGGGCAAATTGGCTTTAGTCGCCTTCCTAAATGCATTGCTGCAATAGCAGGCAAATGGTCCAAGAAGCACTCCCAACAAGCAATTGTTTTACGTCCAGAAAGGAGTGCTGAGAAGACCTTCATTGAC